TTTTTTTTTAATCAATTCCCATTTGATCATATGCTGGTACTGTGTAAGTGTTCCTCACTCATAACTCCTAGCTGGGATGAAAAATTATATCTAAATTAAGACTTTTACAGCATGATTTTTTAAAGGGATGAAAAAACAGGGCCACTCCAAAACTTGCATGTAAACAGATCCCTTCTCCTTCTCATCAAAACATTTTGGAAAAATTTCAACTGAATTTAGTTGCATCACACAGAAGTCTTTGTTCTTTCATTGGCTTTAACGTGAATTTGAAGGATCTCATCTTTATGATGGAGTGTTCTGTTCCTAAGTGCATGGAAGGAACTTTGCAACCTTGTCAGATGAAGGCTCTTACAGTTCCTTCTAAATTAACTGTAGACCGTTTGAATTCTAGTCCTTTGTTCTTACACTGTTTTGTATTTTGATTCAGGTATGTGCTTTATCATCCGGAACCTCTTCTCTGAGAGAATGGCACACCTAGGGACAGACAACATCAAAAATAAAAGAAGCTAACTTGATATTTTGTTTGGAAGAACAAAATATATTCCTAGGAGATTGCTGCACATCATAGTTAAAAACAAACTGGAAAAAGATTTCTCAATGCAAAGCTCCTCTTTGCATGAACATTATCTGGCTGTGTAGAGTTTTCAGAAAAGGCAGATCTCTTGAGTGCACCTCAAAAATACAGCAGCTTTTGAAAACTTTTCAATGTTTTGACTTCAAGTGGGCAGAGTTTTTAAAATTAATGTTTTTTTCTAATATATGTTACAGAATTCTGAAAAAATTGAAATGTGTCACAACTCACAGCCACACCCTTATTTCAGTGTTAATTCTTATCTATAACTACAGATATTCTGTAATGGTATTACAGATATTCTGTAATATCATTTAATCTGTAAGATTACTTTATACTAGGCCAACATATATGTACTTCAGATATAAATGCTAAATTGACTGGAACTGTAATCTCTCAAGGAGCAGAAGTCAGAACCTTTGCAGCATAGAGACTAACATGATGATTAACCTAGGCGCTCACTAAGGATTCTTCAGTTATCGAAAGACCATTCCAGAAAATGCAGCTAAATCAGAAAGGCAACTGTTAAGGTACTCATCTACTATATATTCAAGGGGATGTTTAAGTGTCAGAAATAAACACTTCTGATAATGTGTTTGGCATGTCAGTCTCTTCCCCCACAATGATTTTCTTCCATGCTGAACAGCAGACAATTATGTGCAAAAGAAGTGTGATGTAGTCAGGTCAAATAATATGTTGTTCCTAAAAGGGAACTGAATCAAAAGCCATGTGCAAAATTCTAGGCATTTTACTCAATTGTATTGCTCCTTGTACTTCTCTACAATAAACTGCTAGAATGCAACTAGACATCGGCTTTTCAAAGGTTGGCAATGAGGAATATACACAGCAACCCAGTGGATTATACAGGCAAGAATAGCCAAATAATTCCTTAGAGACTGGCAGGAGCTTTTCTGATGTTTCATCTGTATTGATTATCACCTATGTTCAATTCAAGCATGTGGGGAAGAAAAGTGAGGCTATTTTTTTTTCTAGCTGACTGAACACTGTGGGAAGGGATTGTAGGAATACAATCGATTCCTAGATTGTAGGAATATGAGAGAAGGTAATATTTAAAGGGCAACTAAATACTATTTAAATATGAAGAGGATTTTGCCGGTATGACTTTTCAAACCATGCAGCTGAAGAGGTTATATAAGGGAACAGTGAAGCTAAATTATATAAAAGGTCACCTACTATAATTTTTATTTATTTAATACATGTGGCAGACAATGCTTGCAGACTCTTTTGACCAGCAAGTATTTGCAGACCATAAGGAACAAGATCACTCTTAGAATAGTATAGTGTCAACCCTGGATTAGTGTTTTTCAAACCACTGCAAACAGAAATTTGGAACTTTGTGGAGAACCAGGAGTGCTTTCACTCTGGGCTTCTGTCTCACCCAAACTGATTCAAGTGTGAACACTATTAAGAAACATATAGAACTGCTGAGAAAGATGACAGTTTTGAAGACAGCCAGAGTAAATCCACATTAAACCACTCTATAGTTTCCTAAAGTTGAAACATGAACTTTTTCCCTTGGAAATTCAATCCAACATTCCAGAAACAGCTGATTCAATCCAGTTCCAAAACTGAGCCACTGCAAGACAATGCTGTACCAAACACCAAAGATGACGGCATGGTATCTCTCTGAAAACTTAAGGAAAGGTAAGGAATGTTACACAGCAGCTGCAAGAAAGAAGAGTAAGAAAAATGTCAGAGAAACAGCTCTGTAGACACCAAGGTCAATGGAGAAGGAGAGGAAGAGCTACTCTAGGCACTGCAGCAGATTTCACCGTGGGTCATGAAGAAGACCATGGTGGACCAGGTTGTCCCTCTGCAACCCATGGAGAAACACATCAGACACGATATCCACACGGCAGCCTGTGGAGGACCCTAGGCTGGAGCAGGTGGCTCTGCCCCAAGGGAATCTGCAGCCCATGGAGAGCTCACACAAGCAAAGCAGGAACTGTGGGCCATTAGGGACCCCCACTGAGGCAGCTTTTTCCTAATGGACTGCACCCCATGGAAAGGACCTATATTTGAGCAGTGTTTGAAGAGCTGCAGCTTGTGAGAAGAAACCATGAAGGACTGTGTCCCATGGGAGGGATCCCATGCTGGAGCAGAGCAACAGTGAGAAAAGAAACAAGCAGCAGATATTAAGCTTTATTACCGAAGTGCAATCTTCACACCCACCTTGTACTGCTCGGGGGAGGGAGGAGGTAGAAAATGCAGGAATGAAGGAGTAAAATGAATCTAGGAAGAAGGGAGGTGTAGGGGGGAGTTAGTTTTAGTTTTGCGTTTTTTTTCTTTCCATCCTACTCCAATTTTAATTGGCAATAAATTTTTCTTTGAGAAGTTGAATCTGTTTTTGTAAAAGTGAATAGTAAATGGTCACTCTGTCTTTATCTTGACCCATGAACTTTCTAATCCTATTTTTTCTGCCCTGTTGAGGAGGAGGAGGAGGGAGACTTAAAGTCCTGTTGAAGAGATGGGGCTGACTGGACATCTGGAAGACAGCTGAGGTCAAACCTATCACAGATAAAGCCATGTTTATTATTTTATGTTAAAAAAATGTTATCTCAAGACATATAACATATAGCTGGGTAAAAGGAGAGGTCCTCCAAGTGTAAACTGCCTGATAAAGGCATGAAGCTCATGACAGAAGACTTCCCCAGCTCCTGGTCCAGAGGGAACTTGGGGCAGGCAGTTGGGACATTGAGGTAGTCAGCCTTCCATGTGTGAGCACAAAAGGCCACTGTAACTTCAGCTCCAGTGCCTCACCTAAGTTCCTGGAAAAGCTCAGAACAGTGCAGGCAAAAAGATGTTTGGGACAATGACTTTTATGACATTGAGTTGTACTTCAATGATTGTAGCCTGTTAGGAAGGGATGGGATCCATCTGTCTAAAAAGGGCATGAGAAGCTCTGGCAGCAGACTGGCCAGTTTGGTGAGATGGGCTTTAAACTGAATTACTTGGCTGGGGTCCAAAGTGGCAATACTCATGCCATTGCTCCCTCCTGGGGGGTGGCCCATGCCAGCCAGGGTAATCTTGGCTGCCTCAAGATGAGAGTCTTAAGGCTAACCACATCAAGGGTGGGTATGGCTACGGGGAATCCTCTTACACCCCTCCTAGGGAACCTGGATGCTCAACTGCCTGCCTGAAGTGCCTGTACACAAATCACGGGGAATAAACAAGAAGAACTGGAAATCCATGTGTGGTCACAGAGTCATGCTCTCACTGCAATTTCAGAGACATGGTGGGATAGTTCACCACTGGAATGTTGTCATGGATTCCTGTGAAATTCTTAGAAAGGACAGGTCAGCAAGGTGAGGTGGTGGAGTTGGTCTTTATGTGAAAAAGCATCAAGCTTTGCCCAGGGACAGACAAGGAGCTGAGAGCTTATGGATAATAATTAAAGGACAGCCTAAAATGGGTGACACTGTTGGGGGTGTTTACTACAGGTCCCCTGACTCAGACAAGGAAATTGATGAGGCTTTCTATGGGCAACTGGAAGTAGCCTTAAGATCATGGGCCCTGGTCCTCCCCTGAGAGTTCAACAATCCTGATAATTGTTGGAAGCACAACATGGCTCAGCACACAGTCCAAGAAGTTCTTGCAGATACTGGAAAATAACTTATTAATGCAAGTGGTGGAGGAGCCATTGAGGAAAGGTGTGTTGCCCTCCAGAGGATCCTTCCAATAATTCTGTGATTCTCTAAACTTAAATCTTTGTATCTTGAGATATCAGCACCCCCAGATCTCTTTATACAGGGCTGCTCTCCAGTGACTCATCTATCCATTTAGACTTCTATCAGGAACCTGATACCTGGCACCTCTG